CAGTTAACAAAAACCGTCTGGTTTTGAATTAAAACCACCGGTTCGACAATAAACCGGTGCGTTTTGGTACCAATTTATTGTTTGGAGAGACCAGGATATTCATTACTACCACAAAACTAGCTTTAACCGGAGTTGGTACCTTGCCGGTACTGATCTAACCTGCTGGTGCCGTTCAGACTGGCATGTTTTGCTAACACTGGTTCAAACCATCACAATATTAAATGCTTAAATCATATACTATACAAAGTTACTTTTTACTTCTTCAAAAATGAGCAATATATTTTTACTTAAAGACAATATAGTTCTTAGCCATTTTAATAGAATACATTTCATAAATTTTATAAATTATTAAAAGGAGCACAATCAAATTTGATTTTTATACAAAACAACCAGTTTTTTGAAAATTTAAATCATATGAATAATAATTACCTTTTATGAGCATAAATTCAAGAAAAAGGTCAAAGTTAAAAAAACAATAATTAAACTCAACAAAATTATAATTATGTAATATGAATAATATATTTAATTAATAGATAAAGCCAAAATTCAATTTATAAGTATTTTTAATAATAAAATAAGTACATAATATATCTTATTTAAAATAAGCATTTTAATGTTATTTCAAATTAATTTGTTATTCTTTTTATATATTAACTTAAATAGTCAAAATGGCATCAAAATGTAATTTAACTCTCTTTTAAAATTCAAAAATTTATTAAAAATTGAAAGAAAATAAATTTTATAATTTGGTATAATAAAATTCTAATTCAGCTTTGAGCAAAACATATTTCTCAAATTACATTATTAAAATCATGTCTTTTTGAACCACTTTTAGTTATAATGTTTTTTTAAAAATCGCATTATTAAAATAATTGCTAATGTGTGAATAATTTTCCCAATAGTTAATAATTTTTCCATATTTTTTCAATTAAAAGCTTTGACAGCTAGCTATCTATTTTATTTGATGCATTTATAATTGCCTTAGGCAAAGAACACGCCACTGACCTAAAACTGAGTTACTCACGTGAATCAAAAGTAAAAACAATTTAAAAAATAAAAATAACATGACTCTAGAAATTTTAAAAAATAAAAATAACATAAGTAAAAAAATTTTAAAAAATAAAAATAACATGATTCTAGAAATTTTAAAAAATAAAAACAACATAATTCTAGAAAGGGGGATTTGATTAATGCATTTTAAGGAGTCTTGGTTTTTGAATCCAGTGTTCACATGAACGGCTCGGGCCGAGCACTTGGCCCATGCGCGAGCGAAGTACATGGCCCAAGTTGGGTCTGTGGCAGCAAACTACTGTAAAAAAAATGAAAAAGATACAAAAAATCCAAAAAATAAGAAATATATGTTTAAAGTAAGAATAAACAAATGACAGTTAAATGAGGTCAACAAAGTAGTGAAAAAATAGATTTTGAAGAATCAGTTTGTTATTAGAGGTGTTTTCAAAATAATTTAAAAAATATAAAAATATAAAAATAAGTTTTCATGGCTAAAATACTTTTCAATCTTTGCCAAAATGAACACATAAATAAACATGTTACAAATATTTTTTTTGAGTTTTTTTATAATTTTAAATATTTTTAAGTTCTCCAAGTTGGATCCCTACTTAGAACAACTTTGCCCTGAGCTCGGCCGCTACCCGAGTCCGAGTTGACTTAACCGATTTTTCAAACACTGTTTGAATCAGTATCATTGTCTCATGGACTTAGGATTTCCCACTCTAACCTCGAAATGTGTAAGTTTAAAATGGGTATTTTAATGTTATATTTCACATTGATTTTTTTTTTTTTTTTTTTTCAATTCAACTAAAAATACTCAAAATCATATAAAAAATTAATTTAACTCATTTGGAATTCAAAAGCTTACTCAAAGATCGTTAGTTATTAAAATTAATTTAACTCTTCAGTAAAAAAATTCTTATTTCAATTTAAGAAATAAATATTTATCGATTTATAAAATTAGAATCATAATTTTTTAAGGCAGTTTTAAATAAATTCTATATGTTGGTCAATTTTTTTAAAATAAAAATGATACAAATTGAGTTGGTGGCACAACATAGTGCCACCATATAAATGACGTATTACACTGCTGTGAAATTAATTAAACTTCAAACTTACCATTTAATCTTGCAAAACCATAATAAAGAACTTCATTTTTTTAAATTCTAGGCTATGTAATATGCATGATCATTTAAACTCCATAATGAACCGTATATCTATTTCAAATAAATTATACATTCATGTTAACTTCTTTAAAATAAATTTTACACGAGTTGAGGGGTTAGCACAACATAATACTACTACAAAACTGATACATTGCATTGTTCGAAGCAGTAGTGTACTTACCGCCAATCTTTGACGGGCATGCATATAAAGTTGGTGATCCAGTGTTAATAATAAATGATACTTTGTTCAAGTAATAGCTTTAAAATGTTGATAATAAATCTAATCGAGATAAAAACAATAACATGAATCCTACAATATAGCCAGGCAACACTGTAATAAAAAACTTCTATTTTTCTTCTACTACACTAATAAAGCATAAAGTCCCCACGTCTATGTGTAATACATATTCCCCTTTAAAATCTATGATGAAACAATATATCAATAAATATATTCTTCATTCATCTTGACTTCTTAGGGATAAGTTTCACACAATCTAAGCAGGTAGTACAACAAAGCGCCAACACAAAAATAACATATTAGACTGCTATAAAATAAAGTAAAATTGAAATGACAATATAGTCTAACAATTCCATAATAAAGAACTTCTAGTTTTCAACTTCTAAGCTATCCAATGCACATGCCCCTTTGAGCTCTATAATGAAACAATATTGTCCAATTTATATAAACTCTACATTTACTTTAATTTCTCTAAAATAATTTTCTCAAAACTTGAGTAGGCACCACAACATAGTATCACAAAAAGAATGACGCATTGAACTGCTCTAGGGAATAGTTTAGTTGAGATTAATACTATTTTAAAATAGTTTTAATATAAATTGAATGGGAAGCACAACATAGTGTCATCACAAAAATGATCAGAAGCACTATTTTAAGCAATAATTTACTTAAGAGTGATTGAAAAACCTGCATTTTAGTAGAAATTGTATTGAATAAATTAGCTATACATTGTTGGATGACTAATTCATTAATGTTGGATAGTCACAAGTTACTTTAAAGGATACAATACTACTTTACCTTACTTAATTTTCATTCATGGAAAATGCTAGTCTAAAAAATTCTAGTAATTTACTCTTCGGGCTTTTTTCACCTAAAAAACATTGAATAAGATCACATAGCATTGTTAGAGAGAGAAACGTTGATTGAGTGAAATTGCGGTTGGAAAAAATGTAGGGAAAATTACAAAAAACACGACTATTTATGTAACTTACCCTACCCCAATCTTTTATCTCATTTTTATCCCCAAAACAACATTTCCTTGCAAAAACCCCCCAAGGTAAAAAGTCGTTATTTTTTGTATGGCAATGCCCTACCCATACAAACCAAATTAATTCGCGGGTCCCAAGTAACGTACTGTCGGAGCGCGTCTTTGTACTGCCGGAGCGCGTCTTTGCACTGTCGAAACACGTTTTCATAATGCTGGAGCGCGTCTTTGCACTGTCGAAACACGTTTTCATAATGCCGGAGCGCTGTGGCTCAGACCTGCATTGCTAGAGCATACATTCAAAATGCCGGAGCGCTTGTTTATACTGCCGGAGAGCAGTCCTCCATTACCGAAGCACTGTGGCTCCAGTGACTTCATTGCTAGAGTGCTTCTTTGCACTATCGGAGCGAGTTCTCATAATGTCGGAGCGCTGCGGGTTATACCTGTATTGCCAGACTGCACATTCAGAATGATGGAGCGCGTGTGAAAGCAAGAGAGAGAAGGCCGTGTAAATACAAACAAGGGTAGTTTAGTCTTATTTCATGCTACTTTTGAGTTGAGGGGGGGTTATTTGTGAGGAAATGTTGTTTGGGAAAAAAAGTGAGAGAAAAGATTGGGTTGGGTAAGTTGTATAGATAGTCTATTTTGGGGTGTTTTTTATAATTTTTCCAAAAATATATGTAGTTATAAAGAGAAGATTTAGAGAGAGAAAACACATAGTTAGAAACAAAAAGACTTAGATAAATGACATGTTGAGGATATTGTTAGAGAGAGAAGATACGATTAGATAATTAACTAGTAGAGTTTAGATTCATATTACATGTGAAGCACGTACATTCACCTAATATTTTAGATGCATTTCGTTAAGGGAAAAGTTTATATAGAGCTGAAGTTCTAAACAATCAAATTAGAGCCTAAATTTCACTAGAAGAGGTTGTTTTGATGCTCAAATATCATCAAATTGATCATCTCGACATCAACATGCATGAACATGAGAAAAAGATCGATTTCAAGTTTTGGAAATAGTTTATTTTGTAACGCATTTTTTGGAACGTCAATTTTCAAAATTTTTAAATTTTTATAGATCGGTTGGTCTACACTATTTTTAAAGCTTTAAACTTTATAAATAAAGATGAAAATATATTTTAAGGCTATCACAAAGATTTCTAGTAATGAAACCACATTTCTCGACACTAATTGAAGGGAGACTCTATATAACCCGCATCCTTTTGTTAAATGATATTATAAATGTGATTATTTAAATTTCATTGTATATTATATGATATTGGGGCGATATCCAACCCTGGTCACGGCTGGCCATGGTTGGGGCTTGGGTTGCGGTGGGCCCTTGGTCCAACCCTAGCTTTGTCCGTATAAGGCAGGCTTGGCTTAGATAAAAAAAAACAAAAAAAAAAGAAAAAGTTAGGCTTAATAGATATAGAGAATAAAAAACGATAGAAAAGGGCTGTTGTGGCCCGGGCTTAGCACAGCTTGGCTCAAGCCCTAGATTTTAGACCTAGTTTATATCCCAAGAAACAGATCGCTTTAGATTGTCAATCGAACGGATCTTCAAATGCGAGCACGAAATCGGAACCGCTCAACCATCCATCCCGTCTCATTGGACTTGAGAAATGCCCCTCCGTCCTCTCACACGAGCGATTGTAAAATCTATAATGTCGTAGACACCAATTCTGCGTGGAAATTGGGAAGAGCACAAGGGGAATGAGGGGAGGTGATGGCGCTGGACCTCACTTACCAACTCCAACACGTATCCCACCCACCACCAGATGTGGCCGCGCTACTTCCGCCCCCATTACCATTCTCCGAATGCCACCACAACCGCTTTACAATTATAGTCTGTTTCTCTCTCACCTGCACCATCACCCAACAAAAAATAAAAAAAATATGGGTGCCGCTATCACTCATTGCAAAGCGCACCCGCAGCGCCACCACTAAGATGGATAACATCACTTCTTTGACCCAATCTTCCCTCCTTTGGCCCCATCTCTCTCAAACGCCATAAAGGAAAAAAACTTCTCCACTGATTGCAAAAGGCACAGGTAGCGCCACCACCACCACCTAATAAGATCTGTCCTTTGATCCCATCGTCCGTCTTTATCAACCCAATAAAAGTAAATTCGCCACTGATTGCACCACCACTCAATTAGAATGGCCCTTTCACCCCTTCCGCTCCGCACCACCACCTCCACCTCCACCACCACCACCACCACCACCACCACCACCACCACCACCACCACTACCACCACCCCTACACGATAAAGATAACCTTTTCAATCCCGTTTCTCCCTCTGCTCTGGCTCTTTGTTCCGGGCCACCGCCGAATCTGATAACCATTTGAGGCCATCCCTCTTTGTTAGGGCTACTAACCATCCATCTCTTTATCCTGTTGTAGAGGTCCTAGAATGGGCAAGGAAGTCCCTTAGTGAGGACACTATGACGGCCTCGACAGCGGAACCTGCTCCTGTGCTGGTGCTCGCCATGCCTGCATCCTCCTCCTCTGCGCGCGACCCCTCCATCTCTCCCCCTCCCCTCCCTCTGCCTCCAAAGAAGCAGCCCCCGGGACCCTGGTCCCACCAAGAGACGGCTCACCTCATTGATGCGTACCAGGAGAAGTGGTACTCCCTGAAGCGCGGCCAGCTCAAGGCCCGCCACTGGGAGGAGGTGGCCTCTTCCGTGGCCCTGCGCTGCGGCTTTAACTGCCCCTCGAAGACCTCCACTCAATGCCGTCACAAGATTGAGAAGCTTCGCAAGCGGTACCGCACTGAGCGCCAGCGTGCTGGCTCTGTAGACCCCTCGACAAAGTGGGTCTTCTTTGATCGATTGGACCAAATGGAGAAGGGCTCTTCCACCACGCACCGTCCTCCTCCTCCTCCTCCTCCTCCTGATCATGACTCTGATACCACCGATAACGAGACCGATAATAATAACAATATGAGGAGTTTGCACCACCTCTTGCTAGAGCAGCCGGATCCTCCGGCATCGACGAGGCCCATTCCGCCAAGGTTTGTTGTGGGGAAGAGATCTTCAAGGCCACCTGCCGAGCCGCTGTCAGAGCTGGTGGGGGTGGTGAGGAGTTTGGGTGAGGGTTTTTTGAGGATTGAGCATATGAAGATGGAGTTATTGAGGGAGGTTGAGAGGGGGAGGATGGAGATGGAGATGAAGAGGACTCAGATGGTTCTTGAGTCGCAGCGCCATGTTGCCGATCTCATTGCTAAGGCCTTTGTCGCCAGGAAGAAGTCGAAGTCATCAGATAAGTAGAGAGGAAATAGTGGGATCGCTGCTTTTTTGCACTTCTTGTTATGTTTTGTGTTCCTTTTTTCCCTTCCCAGGTTAGAATGAAACTGAGGGATAAAAAAAAAATGTAGGAATTGGGGCAATCTTGGGCTGCAATAGTACCGTTGGTCATTGTACAGTGAATTCACGGTGCGTTAAATTAGAATCTTCTGAATTATCTCAGATCAAGTTCCTTCCTCTGCCATGCTTTTCAAGCATTACTTCGTTGTTGACTTATTGCTGGTGATCTAGGACTGAGGAAGTTTAGGCAAAGTTCATGATTCTCTGTGAAGTTATCTCCCGTTGTTTCCAGAATCGAGTATCGTTCTTCTGACTTTAAGGTTTATTCTATATCAGGAATGCTAGCTTAACATATTCCATGGAAATCCCAATTTCCAATATGATCGGTGGGCTTTCCTCTTTAGATGCGTTAAATTTGTCTTTCAAAAAGCATTTTTTGTTTGGGGAGAGCCTCTGAGTTTTATTTGAATTGCCCACGATGAAGCTAATCATTTAAGGTGTTTGAATTGCCCATGATGATGCTAACCATTTAAGGTGTTTATACAAATTATCTTCAATACCTGCCATGTATGCTTGGTGTTAAGGACTCGATAATTCCTGCATTTAAGGACTTTCAGCACTTGCATAACTTTCTATTTCATAATTCTGCGTTTTATATTCATCCATTGATGTTGCTTTACTCTTCCATGCATCTTGTCTGTAGCCAGAAGCATTTCCGCCAGTAGTACTTAAAAAGTACAAGACAGATTATCAAGTGTAAAACTTTGTAGCATTGAATGTATATTGTTTCTTGAGATATGAAAACTGGAGTTTATGATAGTCAGGTTTTCACCAGAGGATGTATGCTTCCCATTATGATGTTCTTATTTTCTGGAACGATGAAGATTTATGTAGCCACTTTTTTATGGGTAACTATCTTAATTTTTTTATGGGTAACTGTGTTGTATGTACTGTATTGTTTTGTGTAGAAAACTGGTAAACAAGTATAAGTTTGGCCAAATTTTTTATTGAAGAAACAAAAACTAAGAAGAGCGTGTTATTACTCCTTCCGAAATATGAACAGGAGTATTGGATTTGGGCACTCCTTATCTGGAGCAGGAGTATCAAATACATTTTTTTTCTCTCCTTGATTTTTGGATAGAAAACCATGGCAATTTCGAGGTTCTAAATCTCCTTTTACTGTTCGAACTTCGCTTCTGTAGGCTGAGCCGTGTGAGAAATATTCGGGCTTCAGCCTCATTTACATCACAATTTCCAAAGAGGCTGGTGCGTATGAGCATTGCTTCCCCTGGTCTCAAATATTGAAAGTCTCCTCCCACCTCAGCAGAACCTAGACAGTCCCTAGAGCACCTCAGCAGAGGCTAGGCAGTCCCTAGAGCTGAAGTTACATTTGATGATATTTGGTTTTACTTGTCCATTTTGAAAGATGGCAGAGTTTATGTTTGTCTTGAAGTTAAGGTCTGAAACCTTGCCCCACACCCCCACACCCACACACGCATGCAGACAAAAAAAAAAAACGTCTGTCAAAGAGTCTATGGGCATCCCTTCTCCATGCACTCCTTGGTATGATCCTATGGCTTCTTGAATGTCAAGCCACTTTCTGGTCTATATTGCTTGCATGAATTTGGAGGGCATTCCAGAGTAGCTTCTCCAATATATCAACAATTGAAATGAAAACTTTCTGGCAAATTGCTTCATAGGCTTTGGTGAGAAAAAAGTTTTGGAGGTCCACACATACAGACCTACACAGCCAATAGCAGACCACAAATTTATGCATTATATGTTTTTGTCTTTGAAGCTGTACGAGACATAGGCCTGAATTTTCTTTTGATTGGTAACACTCCCATGAATTTATCAGGAGTTCTGATTAGCGATTATTGCCTGTTAGTTTGTATCTGTGTGTTTCATACTCTATCTCAATCACACATTTGTTATAACTTAAAATAGTTGTTTAGATGTATCACCTCAAATCTTAGTTGTTAATTCCTTCATAATAATGCAATGATATATGTCATCTTAAACATGACTCAAGCTCAAAATTCTTATGCATAATGATTACTGTACTCGAGTATTCCGGAAAAACAAAGGATGCATTTACATTTTTGGGAAGTTATTCATGTTGTCAAATGCCATTTAGGGTTCATCCTGTGACGTCGTTTTCTTCTTATGAATGGTATTTATTATTCTAAACTGAAAATGGAACTTTAGGGTATATCCTTTTTCTGGAATATCTTTCACGGCTTGTGTGTCTTATCCTTCCATGGCTACATTGAATTCCTTTAGTGGGAAGCTATGTTGCTCCCTACATCAGTGTCTCAGTGTCTTTAAAGCACTTCCTTCTTGGAGTACATTTTTCTCCTTTCCTTTGCTGACATACACCTCCTTAGTGTTCTAGCTTACCAACTTCAGATTCCTCTAATGTTAATACCCCACCTACATTAGTACCTCTTTCTCATGAGTTATTATTCAGATCAATAGTACCATCCTTCCTACTATATCCTTTGAACTACTAGAGTCATCAACCATTTGTTTGGTAAAAAACTATTGGGTTGATTTCTTAACATTTAGGCATTGATTAAAAGAGAGGTTGGGGGGGGGGGCGGGGGGGGGGGGAGAACAAGTAGAATGAGACTGCCAAAATTTAGGTGTCAAGTGATAGGAGTTTTCCTATTTTAGGTGCGGTATGACATTGCCTATTGCTTGAGGGGCCAAAGCTATTTGGGCAACATGTGGTTGCCACATGGAGAAGATTCCTTTGGTTGCCTGGTTGATGACCTTTGATGAGTGCTTAGAGTCGCTTGGAATAAAGTATACCAGCATGTAAACACTCGTTGATTTATCAGAGTATTGGGCAGTTTCTGGGAATATCTTGGGAAAAAATATTTTAGTAGGTCAACACTACTTGATGTTATAAGCATGAGTAGGATTCTAGTTCATGGGTGTAATCTCTTGAATGTGGCCGATTATTCAACAATAGTATTCATTTTTATGTCTATTGTGAAGTCAATTTGCAATAATGTAACCGCCTCTCTTGAGAGAGGTTGTCCGGCTTGTTTTTAGTCTGAATGGATCCTCATTAAACAAAATGATGAACCCTTTGACTTACAGGCAACTTAGAAAACACTAGAACAAATATTAAGTACAATATAAAGAACGAGCCTTCCTACATATGGAGCAGAATAGTATACCTATTATCTTACACAATATTCAATGCGCCAATGCTTTTCTTACATGGAATATGTTTTATTAGGAGGTGTCATTGGTTTACTCATTGAAAGATTATTGTCTCAGTTTATTTGGATATTGGGAACTCTAAGTACTAGTGTGATTCTCATGAATGATTTGGCAATTGATTATTATGCACAATTCTTCTTACTAGGTTTATGAAAATTGGGACTTGTGAGCTCCACGTAGCACTAATGACATCTTACTAAAGTGTTCTAAGAGAAGAATCTGTGGCAATTCCCAAATGGAGCATCATCATCATCATCATCATCAACATCATAATCATTAGCATCATTTAAGCCTTATCCCAATAATTTGGGGTAAGCTTCATGAACCTTGTTCCTTCAATTTTTTGAATCCTGTTCCTCCAGTTTTTGAATCATGTTCCTTCATTCTTCTCTATTAAGAGCCAAACCATCAGTGAGACCAAAAGTCACTATATCTTTTTTTAGTGCTTCTATCCATGTCCGTTTGGGCTTTCCTTTTTCCCTTTTAGAGCCTTTCACTCGAATCAAATCACACTTCCTTATCAGCGCTGCATTAGGTCTACATTGCACATGGCCAGCCCATCGAAGTTTTCTTTCACTAGTCTTATCGCCTATTGAAGCCACACTTAAGTTCCCTCATATATATTCATTTCGAATTCTATCATTTCTTGTCTTGTCACTCATCCATCTCAACATCCTCATATAAGTTACACTCATCCTATGGATATGTTGTTTTTTGATAGCTTGATATTCTATTTTATAAAGCATGGTTAGTCTTACAGCCGTCCTATAGAACTTCTCTTTTAGTCTCAATGGTATGCAGCGATCACCTAAAACTCCGGTTGCACATCTCCACTCCGTCTAATTCTATGTGTGACATCTTTCTCAATCTCTCCATTCTTTTGGATTGTCGACCTTAGATATTGGAACAATCTCTTTTAGGTATTTCTTGACCATCACTTAACTTTTTCTTGGTTTCTACTCCTATTATTACTAAACTTGCATTCCATATATATTGCCTTGGGCCGTATAATTTTAAAACCTTGCGTTGTTCTAGTTTCATCGATCAAAACTGTGTTGACTGAAGAATATGAATCCCAAATTATCTCACTTCTTTCTGAAGTCTTCCTGTAAATGACCTCACTGTTTGGAATCTTGAAAAATATTGTCTTTCATAGATTTCCTAGAGAAGGGAGATGTGCCAAGACAAAGCTATAACACGCACCATGAGTCGACACATCCTGCCTACTGAAAATAAAAGTGCGCGAATACACCAAAGGATGTCTCCAAAGCCACAAGAAGACAGCAGCTTCTTATTCATCAATGATGGTGCACAATCCTCTCTTCCCCAACAGAAAGGGGTTTGGAGTTGGCAATGGGCTGGCCCGGCCTGGTTCACCTTGATCCGCCTGGCCTTAAAAAACTAGGACCTTGCCACAAAATGTGGTACAAGGGCTTGGCTACCATTGGCCAAGGATATAGGGCTGGGGGGGGCCAGGCCAGGGCCAAGTCCAAGACACGGCCTGTCAGATTTGGCCCACCCTGGCCCTTCTCTTCATATTTGTTTTTCTTTTTTTACTTTTATTGTATTTGGCCGGCAGGGCAAGGGCCAGCCCTAGGCGAGGCCTCTTCTGCCATGTTAGGGCAGAGCTAGGCTCAGCCCGGTCCTTGAGGGACTAGGGTTGGACTAGGGCCAGAGCTTGCCTGGTCCAAGCTCGGCCCGTTGCGACCCCTAATAGGGTCTTGGGCAAATTGATTACTGTAAACAACATGTGTAATGCTCTTCTCAAATAAATTAAACAAATTTCATGCATTTTGGGCTACTTTCCCATAAACAAAAGAGTGATCAAGGCTATGAAGTAATTTTCTGAAATAATTGTCAAGCATTTGAGGATATCAACTTCCCCATAAACAAAAGAGTAATCAAAGTTCGGAAGTAGTTGCTACTAATGAGTAAGACCTGGATTTATTGCTTCCCATCTGAGGATTACAATTTGCATCTAGTTTGATAAAAGATCTTTCTGTCCCTCCGAGTCAGGCTAGAAACATATGATTGTGAGAATATTTTTTCTTTTTTTTTTTTATTGTTTTTTTGTTTTTGAGATAATGATTGTTAGTATAGTTGTATTGCAATAATATTGGCATTCCGAG